TCCCAGTCCCACCGACTGTGGTTCCTGCCCCCCCTCCCCTCCCCCGTCCCCCCTCCCTTACTCTACCCCCTGCTCCTGGGACCTCGAGGGCCAATCCTTCCTGGCCTCCAGCTGCTGTGACTCTGATGGGGTCGCAGCTGCACCGCTCCAGTCTCTGCCTCTGCCTTCTGGTCACGTGGTCTCCTCTGTGTCTCTGTTTCCCTCCTCTCCTGGCAAGGACACCCGGCGTGGATTAGGGCTCCGCCACACCCGATGCCCTCCTCCGAAGAGCGAAGAGCGTTAGTTACCTCTGCGAGCCCCTCTCCCAAGTCAGGTCAGCGTCACAGACTTGGGGTGGGCGGTCACGGAGGCCAGGCCGCCAGGCAGCCCCCCACAGCCAGGCTGCTTCAGGGCATCCCTCTCGCTGCTCAGATGGGGATACCAGGCCGTGTGGCTCGTGCCCCGTGAGGCGGGGACTCGAGGTCTCAGATGTTGGGGCCTGAGCTCCCGACTGCTGGGCCCCGTGGAGCCGGACGGCACTGGCCTTGAGTGCGTTTGCTCCCTCGGTTTCCTCCTCTGTAAGTGGGGACGGTCCTACGAGGCTGTGGTGAGGCTGCGGTCACAGAGATGTTGGGCAGCTCCCAGCCGTTCCCTCGCTGTCTCCTTTCTTTCCCTAAGAGGAGGCCTGAGTGGGCCCAGCTGGGCGGTCCTGGTGTGTCTGACCCACAGCTTTTCTCCCGGCAGGATGGATGCCAGCGCCTCTCCTCCGAGCCCCTCCCGCCCACAGCCGTCGCCGCCGGCACAGCCCCAGGCCCGCTCCCGGCTCAATGGCACTTCCTCGGTGAAACAGGAGAAGAGTGGAGCGCCCAGAGCTCCTGGACCCCAAGTTGGACCTGGACCAGATATGGGAGAAGCCGGGGCCCCAGCAGCACCCCAGGCCCCTCGTGCCAGGAGCCGAGAAGGAGTGGACAGAACAGGTAAGGGTTCGGGGCCGGGGAAGCTGGGTGGTCCTCAGCCCAGGCCGGGGCTGCTCCCTGGGCACAGTGCAGGGTGAGCCCCGAGTCCCCACATGGTCCAGGCCCCCTCCAGCTTCCTTCTGTGAGGCTTCCCCCCTGCGGGTCAGGGCCCAGCACTCCATCGCGGCCCTTCGGCCCTCACCTGCGCAGATGGGATGTCACATGTCCTTATTTTATTTATAATCAGCTCGGACCTGCTCACACTGGGCTGGTTCCGCACCAGGCACTGTGAGGGGGAGGGGAGAAAGACCCCCCCCACCCCAGTGCTGGGGAAGCTTGTGTCGTCCCCTCTCCATGGGGCCACTCCTCGGGCCATAGGGTCTGGGGCCCCACGTGGCCACTCCCCGTGCCGCATGGGAGCCACGGCCCACAGTCCACCGGCACCACCTCCACTGGTGGCAGCCCAGCCTGACTCTAAAGGCTCTGCCGCCTCTTACGCTTTCTGACCTCATCCCACAGCAAGACATGCACACACTGCTGTCACCTGGCATGCCTGCCCACGGGCACACTCGCACGCTCAGTCAGTGGGGACAGATTCCCACAACTGTGCTCAGCCGTGTGTACTGCCAGCTGCTGGTCTCCCTTCTCCTTTTATCTAAAAACTAGGGGCCCAGTGCACGAATTCGTGCCACTTGAAAGGAACTGTGGGCCACAAGGCTGCGGCGGGCATAGGGGCGGGTCTTGGCCCATTGTTCGTGCCCCCGCCCGGCTCCTCCAACAGGTGCAAGTGGGGCCGGTGCTGTCAGCGGGTGCAAGCGGTGGCTACTGCCCCAGTCGCCCCTCAGGAGCAGAGGGAGGTGGAGAAGCCCTGGGGCGATCGGGGACGGCAGCCACTGCTCACACCCACTAATGGCAGCCACCGCTCACACCCACTAATGGCGCTGAGCGATGGGGCTGATGCTGAGTGCCGGCAGCAGGTACATGGATTCGGGAGCAAAGAATTTCAGTAACCAGCAGAGGCTCACCCTGATAACAGCAACCAGCGCCCTGCCTTGGTCTGGTGCCCCTGCTCACCTGCTCCACCATCCTGCCGTGGCCAATGCCCACCATGTTCCACGCTCTGCTGCCTGCTGCCGATGCCCGCCATGTTACGATGCACCCCCTGGTGGTCAGCGCACATCATAGCGACCGATTGTTTGGTTGTTCGGTTGTCCACCATTCGGTCTATTTGCATATTAGGGTTTTATATATAGACTAGTGGCCTGGTGCAAAAAATTCATGGGGGGGGGGGGGGCGGTGTCCCTCAGCCCAGCCTGCACCCTCTCCAATCTGGGACCCCTCGGGGGATGTCCGAGTGTCAGTTTAGGCCCGCTGGCTCCTAACTGCTCACCTGCCTGCCTGCCTGATCGCCCCCAACTGCCCCCCCTTCCAGCCTGATCACCACCAATGGCCGCCCTCTGCCAGCCTGCTCATCCC